TATTTCGTTTGGGACACAAGAAAAATTATTTAATTCAAAAAATATTTTGTATTTTCCATTTCATCTTTTTCTTTCTAAAGCTTGGGTTTCTCCTCCCAAATATTATAGCCACACATTTTTCACCTAACATCACCTTCTTCACCCTCCACCCACACAAATCCACACCCATACCACCTTTCCAAATCCCATGCTCCTAATTTGAAAAGAAAAGTGAAAATAAAGATTTAAGACTCCCCAAATATGTGCTCACATCTAAGTGACCATTCTCTGCCTCCATTGTCCAACATTTTCTACACAATTAAAAAAACAAAGACACAAAAAAACGGAGAGAGGTGTAATGGTCGTTTTTTGGTCATGTTGAAATGGCAATCGCGGGAGTAGTGGCATCGACATTGTCCACTTCCATGGATGTAGATATGAAGACACGATGGCTGATCACTACGATATTTCCTGGTCTGAAATGGTGAACAAAGATGGGAAACAGTGGCATTGGTGACTCTAGAGACGACGTTGGACACTTTGCATGACGCGACAACGGTGGATAGTGGGAGGCGACAATGGGGTTGGCTCTATGGGGGACATGGAGGGTGTTGCTACTAGAGAAAGTGAAAATTGGGCTGGGTGCCCTAGCTTTAAAAAGAAGAAGGAGATAAAATGAAAAATAAAAAAATATTTTTTAAATTAAATAATTTTCCACGTTGTTGAGACAAAAACATAATATCCAACAACCCATGCTTTGAAATTTATCAAATAATACTCAACGAAATATTGATATAGAAAGAAACATCCAAACAATTGGATTTGCGCAAAAGACAAATGCTTAACCAACATAATCTTCTATCTTAATCACTAGGACAAAATAAGTATGAAAATAATTTTGACCATGAAAATAACGCCTGATGCAAATACATACTCTAAACATCATCAAAACTATATATAGAATATAGCCTGTTAGGATAAAAGATAGGCATCCCATTTAGAAAAATGTTAGCTTAAAAACTTGTGCTAAAACGGTATGATACTCTTGATAGAGTGCCTATACTCCATAGCGTCTGAACTAAATAAAATTTGTATGATCTAGCAATATACGTATGTATAATATTTGAATGACATCTGGTACTCAACAATTTTATAATATTTGAATTGCATTTATTCTTTTGTTGAGGGGGAGCAACATTTGAGGGGGAGTATTTATTTTTAATCTTTTTGCTTATGATAAAAAAAGGGGGAGAAGAATCAACTTCTAGTAAGTACAGTTGTTGTTAACCTGTTTTTCGTTGTCTATTAGTTTGTATTTTATGCAGATAAACCAAAGTTGATTTTAAACAAGTAATTTTTTATCATCATCAAAAAGGGGGAGATTGTTACCAATGAGGAGCATTGGTACTTTGAAGATAAAAGATTTTGACGATGCTGCAAGTGATAAAACTCGAAGAATCAAGTTATAATTGTTTTAAAAGCACTTTCGTAGTTTGCAAATGTATTAAGAAAGATTTCAACTTGTAAACACTTAGAAATTTCGTATCTTTAAGTTAGTTACGTATATAATCGATTATATGGTAGAATAATCGATTATCATGAGCTTTTTGAAAAACCATTTTGCTCTGGAATAATCGATTATTACTCCAAATAATCGATTATCACTTTTTGAAAAACCCTATAACGGACTTAAATAATCGATTATCACTAACAATAATCGAATATCACTGGCAGTTGTAATGTGTCTTTTAAATTTCAGACCAGCTGTCTATATATAGTTGTTTTAAAACCCTTAGAGGGTTAAGTTTTCATTTTGAGAGTATTAGAGCTTTGTGCCTAAGGGAAGCTCTCTGAGAGTGAAAAGGGATTTATGCCATTTGAGAATACAGTTTTTCTGAGGAGGTTCTCAAGTGATAGAGTTGCTTGAGTCAAGTCTTGTGAATAGGAGAAGCTCGCGCTTAGTGTGTTTAAGGTCGGAGCGGTTCTCTTCAAGTTGGCTGAGCAGGTTCTTCCGGTTCGTTTGTCGAAGGAAAGTTCTTCCGTTCGTTTGTCGAACGAAAGGTGTTCTCGTTTCTTAATCTCTACTTCATATCTTGTAATCTGTACAAACATTATTTTTAGTGAAAAAGGTTAATCACTATTCATAGTGATTAACGACTGGACGTAGAATCTTTTTATTCGAACCAGGATAAAATTTCTGTGTTGATTTTCTTGAACTCTACACTCTTTAAACTCTTAGCACATCAACTGTTTGATAAAAGTTCTCTAAGAAAATCAAGATTTTTTAATCGAACTATTTTATCTTGTTTATTGACCGCTACACGCTTTCCGCTTATTTTATTCCGCTGCGCGACTCTATAATGGTACCGATTGTTCCGACAGAAAGTTGTTGTTGAAAAATGTAGAAGAGGTGAAAAAGAAAGAGTGAAAAGTAAAGGGAAAGCATGTTCAAGAATGATCAACTCTACTTCATCTCAATGCATATACAGTCTGATGCTCCTCAACATAAGAAATATGATGAGGATATGAAAAGTTGAAGAAGAAATGAAAAGAAGTGAGAGATGAGAAAGAAAGAAAGAGAGTATGCTCAAAGGAGAACATTTAAGCTCTAATTTATTTCAACTCTTATATTGTCTTATGATCTTCAACTTAAAAGGAAAATGATGAAAGCAAGCTTGAGCAAAAGAAAATATGAAGAAAAAGTTATCATCATATCTTCCTTTCTACTACGTCTCCAAACTTACAACGTTTGAAGCTTTTGGAAGAAAAGAGATAAGAAAATAAGAAAAAAGCAAGCATCATAAATATGGCTACACTAGGGATGGCAAAAAAATCTCCGCCCGCGGATATTCGCGGGTTGCGGGTAGCGGGTATTTTAATACCTGCTTATAAACGGGTTGGGTGTGAGTATTATACTATTTGTATCCACGGGTATCCTCTCAAACAAGATTTAAGATTGTATTGTACTGAAAATGTATCCTCTCATTGAGAGTTTCTAATATGTATCTTGTAAGAATCCCATAGTGGATTTGTTGTAAATTATAGAGAGAATCAAAACACTTGCAACTAGACAAGTTGTTTAAGGTGCCAAGAGTGGCAAATAATAGTTAACCAGAAGTGGGTAAACTCGGTCTAAATGTGTTGTCTACGGATAGATCATGGAGAGGCTAAACTCGGACTATAAGTGATGTCTAGGAGACAAGGAGTGGTGTAATAATATTTGCAACCAGGAGTAAGTTAAACTCGTTGTAAACTTGGAAAGATTAATTAAACCCCTTAAGAGTTCTTAAGGGAGAACTGGATGTAGCTCAAGATTGAGTGAACCAGTATAAAAATTGTGCCTTATTGTTTTCTTCTTTTAAAAACTATTGTTAAGTTTCCTATGTCATCGTCTAAAAAAATATTTATTTACTTATCTGATACCTTTGTATGCTTTCATTACAAGTCATTAGACACTACTTTGCAAAAATGTTTTCTAAAACTATAATCAATTAATAGTTTAGGATCAAAAAACATATTTAAAAAAAAAAGAAAATCAAAACTAATAAAACCCTGCTATAAGACAAGTTATGCATTTCAACCTGCTTCCATGTCACAAGTCGTACAACCCGCTTTTGGTAGGCCGAAGATAAGTTTAAGTTGGGCTAAAACAAATCGGATTGGCTCATTTTTCCACTCTTAATCATGCATCATATGACTCTTACTCACATAACATAATCAACATACATACAACCAAAATAGCATAAAATCAACTTGCAAGTTTCTAAAAACCCTAACTTCCTTCACCTTGTGGAGTTGGATAAAAACTACTCCCTCCCATCTATTATGAGAAATAGAAAACCCCAATAGCTATACACACAAATTAGCTTGGATTAGTGATTCAAATGTTGCATTGGGTTCACATTTCATAAAAAAAGAGTTTGGACAGCTAGAAAGGTCACATGCAAAAAGACCAAACTTGCATTGTGAGATAGATTAGACTCACGAAAGGGAAGAAATGTACTTTGAGTTGGATTAGGATATGAAATGGAAGAACTCTCCTTTTCTGGTTGTATTGCCCATCCTAGCCTAGGATAAAGGAAAAAGAGAAGTTGGAGTGAAAGAAAATGAGAAAAATAAAAATAACTTGGGAGCTATATTTCTGGTTTTCACTTTGCACTTTAAAGAAAGTGGATTTTACAATTATAATTTAGATTTGAACGGTGATATATTGGCACTATTAGAAAGAGAAAAAAATACTTATACTACAATCTTAAATAATAATATTTTAATTATATTTATTTTATATTTTATTTTTAAATTAATATATTATTATATATTATTAAAGAGAGTTATCAACCTGGATTACTATGTTATTTTAGCATCACATGTGACTTTCTATTTCCTTTAATTTTGTTAACATTTGGCTATTGAGAGTGATCTTTTGTTTAATATTTTAATCAAAAGTCTTTCTCGTTTTTGTGTAGTAATTGAGTTTCATCAGCTCTTCTTCTAAAAGCAGCACCTTGTTATCGTTATAACATATGGATCTTTTATTATACCTTTCAATAGTAGGGGTAACATTTAAACTTATTTAATTAAGACATTGTATATTCAAAGTTTAGATAGAAAATATATATATTTTGTTCACACAAAATTTCTTTTAAGTATTTTTAGTACGTGGTATTTTTCAACAGAAAATTTTCTAATTTTAAGAAAAACAGGATAAATTAAACTATACAATTGATTATATATTTCAAATTATTTATAAAATGAATTTCTAGGTAAAACATCTTAAAAAATAACAAAGATATAAAATTATTATAAATGATAAAGTTTGTTATCTATGATTATTTAACTCTAAATTCAGATACATGACATTCAAACTCAACATCACGATAATTTTTTATCTATTGTTCTCGTGCACGTTTAGTAGTTATTGTTTATGGTATCAATTGTTTTACAATAAAATATTCTAATACAAGAACGAGTTAAATATAAAGACAGGTAGAACAATTATATTCAAAAGGCAATCACCAAACTAAGGAAAGAAAGGCAATTAAGGACTTCAATTGAATTCAAGGATTGCAATCGAGTAGCTGAACTATAAGATGGGTGAAAAATATTTAGTTACAATGATAGGGCAGCTCCAAGTCCAAACACAAGCTGCTATGATAACCGCAGCAAAAGCACAAAACAAACTGATACTAAACCTTAAACCGGCTAAAAGGAAGACCAAAAATCTATCTTAACTTAGCCCGCTTTGGCATACTACTGCTTAGATTAGTACCTCTAGACTTACCGAAGCTTTTTGCCTTTCTTCTTTTTCTATCATCTTCGCTGTCAGACTCATTTCCTTTTTCCCTGTCTGCATTGCTCGCTTCCCTCTCCAGTTCTTCCCACGTCTTTCCCTTTTCTTCCTCTGAGTCCTCGTCAGAATCCTCATCTTCGTCATCATCCTCAGACTCAACAAGTGATTCACTGTCAGAGGCTTCATCCTCGGAATCAGATTCAGGTTCCACGTCAGAAGGTTCGTAACCTTTGTCTGACTCCTCTGAGTTCTCAGACTCTGAATCAGTAGCCTCCAAATTCAGAAACTCCCAACCACCTCCTTCAATAAAGCTCTGAGGGTCATCCGTGATTGTCTTAAGGATCTGACGCCAGTTCAGATTCAGCCTGCTCTCGTAATACTTAATGTCGGTAGTGTCAAGCCATTCCTTGATTCCATCCAGTGATGTAGAAGGGATAGAATCAATCCTCAGTACATCACGCTTAAAGTCCTTAAACACTATTGTCATATCAAAATTCTTCTGCCCAAGCCCAACTCTCNTCCAGTTCTTCCCACGTCTTTCCCTTTTCTTCCTCTGAGTCCTCGTCAGAATCCTCATCTTCGTCATCATCCTCAGACTCAACAAGTGATTCACTGTCAGAGGCTTCATCCTCGGAATCAGATTCAGGTTCCACGTCAGAAGGTTCGTAACCTTTGTCTGACTCCTCTGAGTTCTCAGACTCTGAATCAGTAGCCTCCAAATTCAGAAACTCCCAACCACCTCCTTCAATAAAGCTCTGAGGGTCATCCGTGATTGTCTTAAGGATCTGACGCCAGTTCAGATTCAGCCTGCTCTCGTAATACTTAATGTCGGTAGTGTCAAGCCATTCCTTGATTCCATCCAGTGATGTAGAAGGGATAGAATCAATCCTCAGTACATCACGCTTAAAGTCCTTAAACACTATTGTCATATCAAAATTCTTCTGCCCAAGCCCAACTCTCTCAAGATTCACAATCTCAATCTCACTAAGCGAGACAACAAGGAAAGGGGTCTCTATCAGTTCAACAAGGCAGCTTGAAGTAGGAACAATAAACACAGAAGATTTATGAGGAACCCCAGGGAAGCCAAGCTCTCTAAGAGGTTGATCAAACTCCAACTCAAGCCCATTGAAATGGGCCTGACCCCAGAGATCATTCACCCGATTCACAAAGGTTTGGAATTCTACATTTATTTTATTCTTCCTATCTCGCTCCCGTTGTTCTTCTTCAAGCTCATCAGGGTCATAGGCTGATCTCTTACCACCTCCAACATTCTGGACCATGTCCATAACCTCAACGTAAAACTGAACATCCTTGGTCTTCTTATTTCCTACCATAATATGATTGTGCAGATGGAAGTGCAGGAGCGTGATCATTTCATTCTCTGCTGGCTGGAAAAATGCATGCTTAATGTTGCCAAACATTATGTCTACACGCTCATCTTGCCTGGTGGTAGAATAACGAAATCCATTCACGTGAGCCTCTAGTGTACCAGGTATCTTCCTTCCACGCCCACCAAAAGCAGGACGGATCCAAAGATAAGACAAACGTATTGGCTTGAATCTATTATTAGCAAGTTGCAGTTTCTCCTGAGTAACAAGGGTTGCCCTATCGGCTCTCTCAGACTCCCTTGCCACAACTTGTCGCCTGAGGGTTTTAATTGACTGCACAACCTCACTAATGTGCCTTGAATCCTTGGAGCGGAATGATGCCTCCTTCAAATATATAGATCCAGGGAACTTCATTGAGTTTGCATCATGAGGACTGAAAGGGGTACCAGGAACATTAAAAATAATTCTGACATAGCAATTGCGGTTGGTGTCCTGCTGACTCGAAACAGTTCGAATGAAAGCCACATGAAAAGGCACCATGCTTCCATTTATAGGCAAGAGAACTGCTTCGTTCTTCTGATCAATCTGAATCATCATTTCTCTGGGAGGAGGAAGATCATTTATGTTCTTGTAGGCCAAAAGTTCTGTTGAAGCCCTAGCAGAAGAACGGATATCTCCTGCCTAACTTCCACCACCAGCAAGACTCCTAGCAGTTTCTTCATTTTTCTGACGAGCAAGTTCTGCCTGATGCTGCCTTCGAAGCTCCTCCTTTGAAATTTCATGATTGTCTGACCTTAGAGTTGTCTTAGTAAAGGGCTCGGCTCCCTTGGCATCCACTTTTGTGCTTGGCCTTTCCTCTTCCTCCTCATCCTCATTGAAAGAGTATGCTACATCCTTGAGTGCTTTTGAGCTCATCGAAGTCACAACTTCAGTCTTATCTTTGTTGATGATGACTGTGTCAGCAAGAAGCAGGGAGAAATGCTTGTTCTTTGACTTACTTTTCTCAATTTATAAATTCTGAAAACCAATTGACACATTAAAGACCATGCCTTCTCTAATTATCTGTTCATTTTTAGCATTAAGATTCAATCCTGATTCACGAAACTCAATGCCGATGCCTGTTCCAGCAGATTTTGTCAAATATGAAACCAAGTCTGGAGCATCCCTTTCCACGACAGAGACTGCAGCTTGGTATGCAGCACTTAACTTGTTTCCTGGCTTCATAGAGCCTGTGACAGCTTCATGGGCTTTTAGAAGAACCCCATATGCCCTACTTTGAAGAGGGTCTGCATCAATCAAGAAGGTCCTAGCTATGTTGGAGCAATAACTCTTGTATCGGGCTCCAACAGCACATATAATCACACTGGCTGAATCGTAATGCAGTAAATCATCATTGCTGACAGCACTAGGTCTAAGATCAAACTCTCCACCACTCTGAAAAATTGGCGGGTAACAAATATCAACATTATCTGCCTTTAGCTTACAATTCACTTTTGAAGGTTCCAGAATAACTTTCTCAGTCTCCTCCATCAATGTTGAATGAGAGACTTTCTTCTCCTCATCGATTACATTCTCAAGTTTCGTAACCACAAAGTTTTTCATCACACTGGTTGTCAGGTAAGCAGCTCTCTTAATTGATGTGAGCTCTTCATTACTCTTTGCTGCAAATAAAGAAGACAATCCATTGGCAACATCAATGAGATTAAATTTAGTATTTTTTAATTTTTCAGTCCATGTTTCAAGCAGTTTGCCTTCAGGAGACTCTCTTGATATGTATCCAACAGTGGAAGAATCATGGTCATCAGACTTTGGCAGAGCACGAATGGCCCGGAATATAGCATCCATTAGAGCAGTCCCATCATCATTTTTAGGTTTAACATGTAGAACAAGATCTGCCCCAACAGCCTCTCTGGCAGATTTTTTTACAGATTCAAGAATAGAAGCCTTCTTTTGGCTACATAAGATATGTATCTGCTTCTTCATGAAAACCATAATTGTCTCTGGAAACTCAAATCCAAGCAGCCATAAGTTTAGAGCAGTAGATTTCAGGTACCGCAGGTCTTCCGAAGGTGGAGGACATGCAATTGCTATTGCATCAGAAGATCCCCACAGATCTGTTTTGTGTTCATCCCAATGTGAATAAAATGTTTTCAATCTGGATTGAAATGCATTCAGATCAATAGAATATCCAGTTCCAGCTGCACTGGCCTTTCCGTTTGATGGTTGTGTATTTCCATTTCGATGGTCTGCCATAGATTGCTTTCCCTCTAAAAAGAAAATCACGACACAGTAACATCAGTAAGTCAGTAAAATCCTTAAATCCTGAGATTGGATGATCTCCAATTATTTCATGTTCACAAAATAATGCATGTACAACAATCAGAAAGATTATAACTGATTTTACAACCTTTCACTGCAGCAACAGAAGCAACTAGAAATAAAAAGTAATCATATAGAATATCGTATACTGCCTCATAATGACACTAAAGCAATGTTCAATGGTCACATTTAGCAACACTACCCAGCCTTCTGACATAAAAATCAAGCACAAAAACAATCTTGATGCGACAGTTGAAAATAATTATAAATAACTCAGTGTAACCTTAAATCCAGAAAGTTGGTGAAAAATGAAAGTAGCATGCATCAAAATTGCTTCAGATGCAATACAACAATAGCAGTAGCACATCAACAAGTACTTAAGAATGTAAACACTTATCAAAGGATAGGACATTACTTAAGAATTCTCTCCTGGGAAGGATGATGGGCTCCTAACCCCTACCAAAGATGGAGGAAAGTGTTTAAGGAAAATAAACATGATTAGGAGGAGGATTTTTAACCTTTCTTCTATTAATTTGTTTGGTTTTTGTCTTAAATAAATTCTAGATTCATTTATACAAGACATTTGGCACATGAATACCATGTAATTAAGTAAACAAAGAGATAAATCAATCCTCCATATTAGGTTTAAGAAAGCTGAAATTACATTTCGATGTGAATCACGAGATACACCACAAGTCCGTACTTCTCAGATAACAGTCCATTAACTTTAGCATTAACACAACCACAAAGAATGCAAGAATCAGAATAAAATACAAACCACAAAACTTTTCCAAAAGAATCTGAACAAGCAACGTTAGATAATAACAAGTTACCTCTGCTACAGTAACAACCACAACCACAGTTTGAAGGATAGTTCGGTAGCCGTTGTTAAAACGATGGGCAGTTGAGAACTCGAAGAGATATTAATATTAAGAAAAAGTGCTACAACGAATTGTCGAGCCTTTCACATTACTGAGCGATGAAGAAATCACAAACCTCACACGTTAATCCAATAATTCATAATAATCAATCCAAAGGGGAAAAAAGCTTAAAACCAAAAAGCGGCTCGTACTATCTACGAATAAATTAGGTTTTCTTGATTCTAAAATCACAGTGCAAGCATGAAAAACAAAATTAAATCCGTAAAAAAGAAAAAGGAAAGATCGAAACCTTTTCAGTCACTTTACTTTTTGTCTGGGGTGAGGGAAGGCTCTTCGTGTTTTCTGTTTTTCTCCAATTTGCGAATTTACGAACCCAAGTTGGCGCAATGAAACTGTGCAGGGTTCGAATATCAGAGTTTCAATGCCTGCATATATATACTATGTGTGGTACGTTGTGGAGGAAATGAAACATCAACCAAACATGGGAGGAGAGGAAAGACGATTCAAGGTAGGAATATTAGGGTTCATCTGGGAAATTAGGGTTCATTATAGAAAGTTGAGGGGACACGGTGAAAACAAATTTGAGAAAGTGATAATTTCAAAAGATAATTCTTGTTGGACAGTAATGAAAACACACAAAAAAACAATATAATTATTGTATTTTATCACTTTCTAATTCAAAAAAAATGTTTCAGTAGCAACAATTTTCATCCAATTAAAGATAATAAATTTATTACTTTATAAAATTATGTAAAACTTATATCAGATAGCATTATTTTATATACATTTTTACAACCATTTAATATATATTATTTTATTCTTTATTTTTTTATAAATACAAAAAAGTTCATTTTTGTAATAATTGTTTTGCTTCTAGAAATATATTGTCAAGAATACTTTAAGTGAAAAAAATCATTTTCCTCTCTTATTTCATTTTACAATGTAATATAATAATTACACAGTCAGTCGTTCAACTCTTTCTTACATTTATGTTTGAATCCACAGGTTGTATTTAATCATCAACTTGTTAAAATATATATATATAGATATATATTTTTATAACGATAATGACAATTATGATGATAATAATAATAGAAGAATTATGACACAAAATAACTGCGTACAACTCATGTAATATATGTGACTAGTAAAAACAGTGATATTAGTTATTTGGAATAATAAAAATAAAAGTATTTATCGTTATAATACAGATTACATCATATCTATACAATGAAAATATTAAACGTCAACTAGTACATTAGAATATTAATATTAATATATTAGAATGACTTTTCACAACAAGAATATTAAACTTTGATTAAATATCTTTTTAATCTTTTAAGTGATTTTAGATTTCGTCTTTCTCAAAGTTTACTTCACTTTGATTTCTTTTTTCTAGGAAACTATGATTTTTATTTCTCTAAAAGTAATAGGTGTTAAATTTTAACTGAACTGGCTAACGATGTGTTACTTCTCCTTTTTCTACAATGATCATTCTCCAAACTCTCTTCCCTTATCCATCTCTATCATTCTCCAAACTCTCTTCACTCTTGGATTGCTCTCTCTCCCTCCATCTCCGCTCCTCCATCATCCTGTTTTCTAGCAACTACTCAACGAATCCGCGCAGGAATACGACTACGAGCAGAAAGGCGTGCTCTGGTGTCATGTCGCGTCTTCGATTTCGAGCATGCTCCACGCATTGCGCCTTAGCCTCGGTGCGCCTGATGTTTTCGAGCTCCTTAACTTCTTATCAGAAGAATTATCTTGAAAAATAAATGAAAACAGAATACACAACTCGTGATTTGGCTAGATCTTTTTTTGGTTTTGTTGCGTTATAAATACACATTAGTAACTTAAGAGAAAAGAGGCACAAAAAATTTGGGTTTGTAATTGTTTTTCCTTGGTTCGGTTTCTTCAGATATAGTGTAAAATACTTTTGCAGTTATTATATTGGACTTGTAAATAAACATTGGATGCTATTATATGCAAGATATAATTGTAATTGTAATTTGGAGAATTTATGCAGCAAATCTGAACTAAATAGTGATGACAGAGAAGAAGGAGAATGGTTATCACTTTTCTCAGTTTAATGTAAGAACAAACTTAGTATCAAAATAACTATATGTCATTTTTGTTCCAACAATATTATTATAGAATCGAGTTTGGTAGCTGAAACTCTATTTGAGAGTTTTCTTCGGTTTTAATTTTTTGATATTGTTGAATAGGTTAAGGTTTTATATCCATCTTACATGTTTCTTTAAGGATATCAAATACATAAGTTCTCATATTTTTTTCTCATTTTTTTATACTCCATTGTAGAGGTTCATTCGTACTACATCCACTGGCATAATTTAATAAGCTCAGGTAGTGAAATCAAATTGAAGCTAAGTTTAGGTACCAAATTGCATAGTGTGTCTTACCCACCATGTGATATATATCATGTTTATAGGTCACCAATATGAAAAAACCGAACCAAGGAAAAATAATTACAAACCCTAAATTTTTGTGCCTCTTTTTTTTCAAGTTCCTAATTTGTATTTACAGCACAACAAAACCAACAAAAGATCTCGCCAAATCACGAGTTGCGTATTTTTTTTTCATTTACTTTTCAGGATAATTCTTCCGGCAAGAAGTTATCGAGCTCGAAAACATCAGACACGTCGAGGCCAAGGCGCAGTGCGTGGAGCACGCGCTCAAAATCGAAGGTGCGACATGGCAACCGGAGCACGCCTTTATGCTCGTAGTCGTATTTCTGCACAGATTTGTTGAGTAGTTGCTCGAAGATAGAGTGGTTGAGGAGCGGAGATGAAGGGAGAGGGGGCGGCCCGACGGTGAAGAGAGTTCGGAGAATGATGGAGATGAATAAGGGAGGGAGAGAATCCTCAGTGTAAAAATGCAGGAAGCAAAAATGGTTTCAGAAAAAAGGAAAAGTGATGTGGCACACTAGCTCAGCCAAAATTTAACAGCAGTTGATTTTGAGGACTAAAAATCATAGTTTCCTAAGGAGAAGGATCAAAGTGAAGCAAACTTTGAAAGAGGGACGAAATCCAAAAACATTTAATAGTTGAGAGATTAAAAACATATTTAACCCAACATTTTTTAATACAAACATTACTTTTTATTCAAAATTTTAAACTTAAAAGAAAATGAATTGAATAGAGTTAAATTTATAAAATTGTAAGATTTTCAATCTGTCAATATGGGGTGAGGCAATGTACATGTGGTTGTGCGTAATATGTGTCATATATACTTAAGTGCTAATTAGATATTCAAGTGGCTTAACACGATAAATAAACTTTCTGAAACTTGTTGGATTGTACCCCAATAAGTGGTTATCACACAAGTGTCGACGTTGACAGTCAAGTGATGGGATGGTTGTTGAAGTGAATAAAACCTAAAAGGGACTGTTGTATATTGATAAGTAAGGAACAAGTTCATCACTCAAGTGAAATGGATGATTCATTGTGTATATTTACGATGTCACTCAAGTGAGAATAATTCGTTCAAGTGACAATATGTTGAAATAATAATGTTCTTAAGTGATGCTTTTATATATAATGCATGGTTTGATGCATGTTCTTAATAAAGACCTAAAGTAGCTTTGAGTGAGTCAGTTGTTCCATCACACAAGTGCAAAACCTGTCATAACTCTATGTTCACTCTAAATCGGATAGTTCAGTCTAGGTCTTGAAATGATTAAGATGTTTGGATTGTTTTATGTGAAATATGACTCATGTATGAAATGTAATGCATATTATGATTTGTTTTATATTACTAGCTTACCTACTGTTTGTATCTTGTTTATGTGTACTTGTGCATTGATGTGTTGACGATGATTATCTAGTGGGTGTGAGTAGAGGAAGATAATGTATCTGTTAAACAAGTACTAGGTGGGGACAACTCAGATGCACACTAGTTTTAGGAATTATATTCCTTTTAGTTATGTGTTGTTTGATTTGAATGGAGCATCATTCCTTTATATACATGTTTTTTATAGGTTTAATACCCAATTTTTTCCCCAGTTTGGTTTGATTGACAAATCTCAATTTAGTCCCTAGTTAGAAAAGTGTTTGAAATGAGTCCTTACTTATAAATTTGTGAGTCAAATTAGTCCCTTCCGTTAAATAGAACCAAACAGAGTTAATAGGATGATGATGTGGCAGTAGTTAGTGGTTACGTGTGAAAATATAATTGTGTGCGTGGTTACATGTTGGTTAATTAGAGAAGAAAAGGTTTATTAAGAAATTGGATTTTTTTAAAATCAATTTCTCCATTCTCAGCCAAGATAACAACTCATATTCAACCATCGCCATAACCATCTTGCCACTCACAGTTACTACCAACACCTTTTCACCATCTTCACCTCCATCGAATGTCCATTCCCATCCTTCTTATCATACTTTTCTCCAATTTCCCCTGCTTTCAACCAAAAACATAACACACCAAAAACATATTAACAATCCCAACCAACTCATTCTCCATCTTCAATCCTCAATTCTCAAATCATTCAAACCTTCATTCTTTCTGCAAATTCAATTCAAATTCACCCCACCATTCATTCCTTCCTCAAGCCTCCCAAAAAACAGCTTGAAACACACCACACACAAAAAAGAACCCCATAAAACGTCACAGACACACAGGTACACACGAAGAAGAAAAACTCGACGAGGAATAAAAAGGTTCAGTTTTTTCTTTAGTGTGATAATCGTTTCCTCTATGGCCACGGGACCCGAAAGATCGAAGCCAATGCATAACTTCTTATTGCCCTATTTGAAATGGGGCACCCAACGGTTACTTCGTTGCCTCAATGCCGACCTCGATCGCCGATCCTCGAGATTTGACGCGCTCCAGAACGGCGTCGTTCAAGTCCCCAACAAGTGCAAAATGAACGACGGCGACGCCGTTTTCTTGGGAGGACTCGGAGAATAAGCTAGTGGCGTGGCCAACCATGTCATGATGTCTTGTAATTTGAGAACGAGAGAAACCCCAACCAAGCTCGGTGGAGGTGTGGGCGGCGACTAGGGGCTTAGTCTCCAATGGCAGCAGCGTCGTAAAGAGAGAAACCCCAACCAAGAGTTTGGCCTCGCATTCATGACCAGTTATGAACCCGACAGGAGCGGACCACGGTGGCGTCTCCATCGCTCCTGGTGAGCGTTGTGGAGTTGAAAAGGAGGAGAGAAACTCTAACGATTGGAAGAAAAGAAAGGGGAACTTTGATGGTTCCCCTGGCCGTAACAAGCGCTGTCGGCGACAATCCCGGCGACGACGACCTCGTTTGATGCAGTTGCGGCGACGACTCTAGCAGTGGAGAATGTGGGAGGAACGACGGTAAGGTGCAGCGTGGAGAAGCGAGAGTACTTCTCTCGCGCGCGAAGAGAGGCAAGAGAGGAGAGGTTGGCGCAGTGGTCGGCGGTGACTCTGGCGACGATCGGTGTCGCCGGCGACAGTTTTGGCCGGCCAATGGGATGCGCGACGGTGTTGGGTTGATGGAAGGCAGGGCTGCCACGGTTGGGAGTGAAGAAGAGACTCTAAACTTTGTCCCAAGAGAGAAAAAGGAAGAAACCCTAGTTTCTAATCTG